CCGCCCCGCCCCAGGCCCTGCAACACACAATACATGAATTCACACAGGCACAGGCGTGCGCGCGCGCACGCGCACACACACAGACACACACACACACACACACACACACACACACACACACACACACATGCACGCACACACCCCCACACGCACACACTATCCACCCTCACCTTGAGCCACACGCCCTTGCCGCCGTAGTAGGGGTTGAGAGGGTTCGTGGGGCGCGCGCTGGTGAAGGTAACGTTCTGCACCGTGTTGAAGCTGCAGCCGTCCAGGATGATCCCCAGGTCCGCATTCTCAAACACCACGTTGGTGATCTGCGAGCCGCGCACACGAACGACGGTTTCGCACGCCGGCGCGTTGTGGGCGCGGGCCGGGCCGCCGGAAGGACTTTCACTGCGAATGCACGGGGACGCGGCACGAACCCTGCGGGGCGCTGCGGCCCAGTCGCGCCCAGCCGTGCCCTGGGGGCCAGGGCGGCCCCTACACTACATCCCCCGTCAGCCCATTGGCTCCCCTCAGGGGCATCATGAGCTGGGCCCCACACACACCACCGAGCCTGCACTACCCGCTCCCCCTCCCCCGCACCCAGGAGTGGGCGGTGTGAAACATGTAGAGGCCGTTGTAGCCCGCCTCCTTGCTCTCCCCCGCATAAGGTGCATCTGCCGGGAACCTGCAGCGGGACGCAGAGACAACCGCAAGCAGGTCGCCACTTCCAACTCCAATTCGCAGCCCAAAATTGCGCTGCACGGGGTTTGCACAATGCCGCTCTGCGGCACCCAAGGTTGACGTCGCACTCCGCACGTGCCCGCTGCGCCCCTGTCTCTGCAGCCCCGTGCGCCCCGCATCCGCCGCCCAGTCAGCATCCTTTGACAGCCGACCTGATTGTTAGGTCTGACATCCCGGTGATGTTGCGCTTCACGCCACTGGTTGGGGTGTTCCAGTCTGCGCGGAGGAAAGGGGGGGGGGTGACACAGAGGTTGCGCACTCAGATGAGTAAATTTGCGCGCGCGCCCGCACCGCGCACCAGCCGTGCACGTGGTCGCTTTGCTACAGCGAGCGTGCGCCGTGCGGCCGCGGGCGCCACGGCCCGATGGGAGTTGTTGGCGGTTTGACCGCCGTCGACTGCCCGCAACCCACCGTGCAGCTCCGGCTTCCAGGCCGTGGACACGTTGAAGGGCAGGGCGCGCTCGAACTTGATCCTGCGGGGCAGACGCAGCCGCCCCAGCCGGTGACGTCACAGCGGCCCGCTGCTGCTGGCAGCCGCCGGGCGCCACAACGCAGCCCCGCCTGCCGCGTACACGAGCTCAATTGCCTGCCAAAGCGCGGCCCCCCGGCCCCGGGCCGCCGCCGCGGCGCCCACCTGGGCGGGTTGTCCATGACCGCTGCGATCCTGGATGTGAACTTCACCACGTCCGCGCGGTTGGTGTAGGCGTCAAAGGGCGCCATGAGGCGCTGGTTGAAGGAGTAGAGCATGTCGTTGTTGACATTGTCCAGCACGATGCGCACCATCTGGAGCGGGTTGTTTGGTTTGTTGGTCGGTTGGTTGGTTGCTTGGTCGGCCGGTCGGTCAGTTGGTTGGTTTGTCAGTCCAGTGCAGGGAGGCTGCTGTGCAGTGCATGGCATGTCAGATGGGGGTGCGTGATAATCGCAAGTGTGGCGGCTGCAAGCACGCCTCGAGGCACAACTGCAGTGACACACACACACACACACACACACACACACACACGCACGCACGCACGCACGCACGCACGTGCGCACACACGCACAAACACCCCCCCCCACACACACACACAGCGCTGTCAGCGGTCGTCCAGGTCTGCTTGTCAGCGTGCATGGAATTGCCCCACATGAGTGGCGCTACAAATCTGGGAACCGTTCGACGTCTGGAGCTGCAGCGGCCTGACCCTGCACCTTCTCCTTGCAAGGCACAGTGGCGACAGGCTGCAGCTGTGTGCTGCCTGCTGCCTGCTGCGCACCCTTCCAGGTTGCAGGCCCGCGATGCTGTCAAGCTGCACGATGTCAGAGCCCCTTATAATGTTGGCCGTGACATACGCCAGGCGCGTGTCATTGTTGGGGAAATCGCCGCCTGGGGGTCGGGAATGCAAAGGGGGTTCAGGAGGAGGGGCATGAGCGTATGGGGCACACCGCGGGGCAGGCAAGCACGGCTGCGCCACAGAGCTGTCGCTGCACACACGTGCAACTAACGTCCAGCGCTCCTCACCGTTCCAATTGATGTAGCCAGGACCAAAGGCATACTGCGGAGGAGAATAGCAGCAGGGTTATGGAGGGGCGCATGGCAAGGCAAGCGCTGCGTATGCTTGGGATTCAGTCCTGTCAATCGCAGCCATGAGTGTGCGGTGTGCCCTTGCGTCTCCGGCCTGACCAGGGCCGACGCCCATCACCAGTGCAGTCGTGGCTGACTCGCCCGAAAATCCTGCTGCTGCCTGCTGTGCTGTGTAAGCCCCGGCTTCCCCTTAACAGTCGTTGAGCAACCTGGCGTCCCTGGGCCATATGCCACACCTGCGAGATGCCATTCGGCCAGGTGTTGCCGTAGACCTCGGTCAGAGACTTGGGGAAGTAGATGACAGTCTGGCCAGCGCCCTCGCCCCTGAAGAATATCTGCTTGTCAATGTCCAGTCGCTGCAATATCACGTGATTTGGCCATTAAGATAGGAACAAGGGTCAATTTTATGGCAGGATACTGAGGCGCAGCAAATGATGTGCATGCGGCCGCGGCGTGCGGGCACACGCAGCAGCCAGGCGGCCGCCTCGGCCCACAACCGGCTCTTCTTCGAGCGGGCCCGCCAATGTGACGGGGCGCACGTGCGCCGCCGGCTCCCCGGTCCCTGCCGCACCCTCGTGATCACGTAGGTGCCCTTTGGCAGGAGCAGGGTGCCCTGGCGCGGGATGGTGTTGAACGCCAGCTCAAAGGCGGCGGTGTCGTCGGTGACGCCATCGCCCTTGGCGCCAAAGGTGGCCTTGATGTCTGCCATAATGGGGTTCTTTGGAGGGTCGTAGTCCCCATACCTGGCACGAGGGCAAATCAACAACAGGGCGCATGTGTGCGTGTGCGTGTGCGTGAGGCGTAGCCGCAGGCGTGCTCGTGCGCATGTGCGTCTGCGTGAGCACGTGCCACATTCCGTGCAAGCATGTGCCTGATTCATGTCGATGCAGGGATGCCTCGTGGGTGCCGCAAGTGTGACGCGCACTTCAGGCAGGCTAATAACCGAAGGGCCCGGGTCGCCGCTGCCGCTCACATGTAGCCCGCGTAGCTCCAGTCCATCAGGCGGCTGTTGGCGCGGTTGAACCGCTCCCCAGTGCAGCCATACAGCGACGAAGCGCCTGCAGGGATGTTTAGCGGTTTGGGGTGATTAGGATTTAGATCTGTGTTTTTGCAAACGTGATGACTGCCAACAATTGCTCTCAGAGTCCGAACTTACAACCAAGGGCGGCCGACAGGTGGCGTGACAGGCATCAGCCAGGCATGGCCGGGGGCGTCGGACGGGCCCTTTGCTCTGCGCCGTCAACCCCCGCTCACGGATGGTGTTAGCGCCGCAGGGCGTGCAGCCCGACCAGGTTGAAGTGGGGTAGCAGCATTTGGCGCTGCTGGTGCGGTTGCAGCCATAGGTGGCTGCAGCAGTGCGGCGAGATGGCATGGGGCAGCGAGCGGTTTTGGTGGACAGCATGGTGCAGACTGCCGATCTGATGCTACCCCAGTAAGCACTCAAAGCCTGTGTTTTACCGCCAATCCCTTGTACAATCTTGCATAGCCGCTCCATGCTGACGCACGGCTGCCACATGTGAGCAGCGGCCTCACGTTCGGGCGCGCATGTCCCAGTCGGGCGTGCGCAGACACCTTGGGCGACGGCGCTCCCTGCCAGCACCGCCAGCACGCACGCCAGAAAGGCTTCGATCGTCCAGGATCGCCTCATGACGCGCTTATGTATATGCTGGACGGTGACAGGGTCAATGCCCGGCAGATCGCGTTTGGTCTTCCCGCGACGACCGCCGTGGCAGAGCCCGGGTGTGAGCAACAGGATCAATCAAAGAAATTATTCAGCACTTCATTCACGTGTTGGGGTTCTGTGAGTGCCGCGCGAGGCGCGGAATAGATCGTCGGTCAGCCAGTCGAGGAGGCTGAACAATGGAAGATGGAATCGAGACTACCGTACTAAGTCGACGCAGATAACAAGGGCTGCATTGCCAGAAGGTGCAGAATCGCACGCCGTTGATTGCAGTGCGGCACAGTCACTGACGTACTCTATGCCAGGGGCGGACTGCTCAGAGCGCGGCGCGCAGCCGGTGCAACCCTCCATGAAACATGGCAGGGTATTCACTTTACAAAGGTGTCGCGTGCGCAGGCGCACAGAATATACCGTAATGTGCCAAAACTAGAATTCGGCAGTCCTGCAAGGTTAGTCCTCGTCTTCCTGCCGCCGCCGCTCTTGCTCATGCTGCCGGCGCGGCTGCCCCTGGCTGTGTTCCCGCGGCCGCACCTCCGAAACCGCCGCCTCCGCCAAACCGCCGCTGACCGCGGCCTCCTGCCACTCGGTCCGCCTGCCACCGCGCGGCGCGTCCTCCTGTCGCCCCGACGGCCAGATCCACTGCAGCCAGCTCCCCAAGATGGTTGCTCCGTTACCTGCCTGCCCCTGCTGCCTGCCACCGCCGCCGTCATCCTGGGCCCCGCGTCCCTCGTCGATTAAGAGATCCTCCTCCTGCAACAACTTGCCCTCGTCGGCCTCAACGCGCCCGCCGCCGCCCGCCGCTCTGGCTAGCGGAGTGGCTGCCGCCGCGGCCGCCGCCGCCTCTGCCGCGCCCTCGGCCCCCTCGCTCGCCGCCTCGCGCCCGCGCCGCCCAGGCAAGCCTGGGAGCTGCCACCAACGCCGCCGCTCGTCACGCTCCTCGTCCCAGTGCCACTCCCGGTCAGCCGGGCCCAACGCGGGGCCCCCGCGACGGTGGCCGCCGCCGCCGCCGCCGTTGTCATCCGCCTTTGGTGGCAGCAGCAGCTCCAGCAGGGTGATGGCGCAGCTGATCACCAGCAGCCAGATCACCCTGTCGCACGGCAAGGTGGGGGGGGGGGGGTGGCCGCGACGGCTGACATGCTGATGTGACTTCATTGCACGTAAGCGGGACGGCGCGCCAGGCCTGCGACCCCGTCCGACACAACACCACGGTAGTTTGGACTCCGCCATCGCGCACAGTACAGGGCTGCACCAGATTTGCAAGGGCTGATAACTGGCCCCATCGCCGCAAGCGGCTGGGCGCTTGGCCCCTGACCTGTCCGTGAGCTTTGCGTAGCGGCGGCCGTGGCGGTGCTTAAGGTCAAACGTTGCCGTTTGCTTGAACTCGTCAAGCTGCGGCGTCGCGCGTGGGGTAAAGGACGGGAAGCTGAGCAGGCAGAGGCGCGCACCGTGCGATAGCTGCAAATCAGCCGAACACGCAGTGCGCCCACCCACGCCGAAATCCAAGCAGCACGTTGGATACGCTAGCTCAAAACCCTAGTCGTGTTGGGTTGCGGCAGTACAAGCAAGCCTGGCAGCATTCTCGCGCCGGCGACCTCGCTTTCCCTCCATCATCCACAGCGCCCCCAAGCCCTGCCCCCAGCCCCACCTTGAGCTCCAGGGCCTCGAAGCGCGTCTCAAGGCAATAGTCCTCAAACAGCAGCTCCCACGCCTTGGGCCGCCACGTCAGCATAGGGAGGGGGGACGGGGTGCGGCGCCGCGCCGCGCCGCACAGGCTGTCAGATGCAGAACCCCAATATCAGCGACCGAAGGCCAAGACACGGGTGCTGGCGCAGTCCGCGAGCCGGCCTCCCCCAGACTGCGCCTGAACCAAATTGACCACGCTTGCTCCTGCGCGACTTGGAACGCCTCTGGTCCCGCAGGCACAGCGATCCATGTCGCCGCCCTGCTTGCGGCGGCACAGCCTGTCACCCCCGCCCACCTCTGAGAAGGCGTCGTATCGCCACGACAGCTCCCCTGCGTCCAGCAGGCTGTGGGCCTCGGTGATCGCCATGCTGCCATACGCAGCAGCCCTGCAGGCATGGGGTGCATATGGGTGGACGGGCGTTTTGACTTGTGTCCGACTGCTTGCATGCGTGAAGGCTTGCATGCGCGGTAGCAAACAAGGGCGGGTGTGCGTGGTAGCATGGTAGCGTCATCTTGGTGGTGTGCAACATTATCTGCGACAGCATTACTTTCCAGGGGTCCAGGGATCACCACGCATCCAAACTTCATGCATGGAGCGCCTGTGCTGTCGTTGCTGGGGCCTCGGCATATCATCGCTGCGGCCCAGCCCAAGCGCCGTGCGCCACACACTTGAACAGCCGGCTGTCTTGGGCGCCCGCGAACATGCCGGTGCCGCGGTTGACCGAGGCGTCTGCCATCGCCGCATGCAGCGCCGTCAAGGCACCGTCCACCTGGTATCAATGGCCAGGGGAATACACACTTATTGCCAAAACTGTTCATCAGCTTCCAGTCGCAGGTTCACACACCGAGGTGCAGGTACGTGACCGAAGCATGGTCCGATGCGCATGCGGGGGTGCCGCTGTTGACCATTGCGCGTGCATCGGTCCATGTTGAGCGCTACGCGCGGCACCCACCTCTCCGTCGACCTGCGACAGCGCCACCGACTGCCCCAGTATAGAGGAGGCCACCCTGAGGTGGCCCATATCCAGGACCTGGCGGGAGCGGGCAAGAGCGAGCTGCGCGTGACGCTAACACCTGTGTGCACGGGACTCGGGCGGCGTTCTGTAGCTGCAGGGATTCAGGCAAGCCTAGGCCTGTTGGGCCGCAAGCGCAGCTGCTTCAACAAACACAATACAGCACATGCACTTGGACCTGGAAATGCACATGCCCTCCCAATCATTCCTCGCAAGGCCCCTGTGTCTGCGGCGGCGGCTGCGCTTGCACACCCCCGCTCCCAAAGCGCTCACCCTGAGGACCAGCTTGTTAGGGTCCATACGGGCCGACTGGGGCGCCGAAGGGTCAATCTGGATCGTGTGGGCGTCGGCCGCCGCCGGTTGCGCCAAGCTCGGGCCTCCAGGGGACGGAGGGAGCGGCAGCAGGCACGCCGCCATTGAGACCGCTGCACATTGTCCCAGTTTGTCGGCCGCGGGTGCAACCGTCCCATGCTGCGCTCTGGGTACCTCGCCACAGCTGAGCCTGGCGCTGCCTTGCATGTGGCTGGCACAGCCCCCGCAAATGCAATCTGCGGGGCCCCCACAGACCCTCACCTGGGTGGAGCAGCCCGTCTGGGCGCCCGGTGCGGTAGAACGCCCCTAGGGGCATCACGCGCGACAGCGCCGCCGCGTCTTCGTCGGGCATGGCGTACTCCTCCCCGGGCTCTGACGCGGGCGGCCCCAGCAGCGCGACCGCGCCGTGCCGGTACGCGACTAGCAGGAACGGCGCCCGCGCGTCGCGGCGGCGCCGCTCGCGCCGGTCCCGCCGCTGGTGCGCGCCCGCGCCGTGCGCGCGCGAGGCGCCGGGCTGCTGCTGCTGCTGTTGCTGTTGCTGTTGGTGCAGCGAGGGGGGCCGCCGCACGACGCGCGGCTGCATGCGGGGGCCGAGCCACACTATGGCAAAGTCCTTGCCGGTGTCGACGCTCAGCCCGAGGCTGCGGCAGTGGTCCACGAGCTCTTTGATGTGCAGCCGCATGCCTGCGATGGCCGCAACCGGCGGCGCGGACGGGAGGCTGCGTCGGCACCGCCGCATGTGAGGGAGGATTGGGGCAGGACGCGCCCCTGCGCCCCTGCGCCTCGGTCGAGGGCGTCGCGGTGCGCTGGCGAATTGCAGAGCAGCTATGACAGCGCCAAGCCGGGCTGATGCGGATGGGACCGCACGCGCACGAGCGCTCGGACCAGGCCGGCGTGCTCACCCCAGTGCATGGCGCGCATTTGGAGGGTGCAGGGCGCGTCGACAGCCACTTCTGACAGCAGCCGCGAGGTGGCCACGCCGCCCGCCTTGGCGAACGGGCCGGCCGAGAAGCCTTGCTCGAGCGACGGCGACGCGAGGCGGCGCAGGGCATAGGGCCCGAGGAGCAGCAGCACGGGATGCTCTTGCGCCAGGGCCTCCGCGGCGGCGGGGTCGCAGCCGAAGGCGGCTTGCATGCGCTCGAGGCGGCTGCGGGTATCGTCCGGCGGCATGCGCTCGGCCCCGGCAATCGTCGCCAGCGGCCGCCTTGAAAGCAGCGCCGCTGAGAGTGACAGTGGTGGTGGCGCATGCTGGCCGCTGTGGGCGTGGGCATAGGCCAGGCTGCAGCGGCGCCGAGGCGCAGGAGTGTCGAGGGCTCCTTCGTGCGATGCTGGCTGACCGGTGCGCGTGTCGAGCGTCGTGGCGTATGCTGATGCCGGCAACTGACAAGCCCATGCGGGCATGTCATGCTGTTGAAATATACGCGAAGTGCCTAGGCATCTGTACAAAGCACGCCCGCGCATGCTGCGGGCTGCGTGGGTGTGCTGTTAATCAGCAGAAATTCAGCTACAGATCGCAAAGGTTACTGTACGTTCGCCTATACGATACTCCCGCATCATCAGAACAGCATCCAGAGACGTCCATGCCGTCACTGATTGCACTGCTGTGCAGCTTGCAGTGTCAGGTGTGTCGCTTTCATGATTTCACAGGACAAAATCTGCAATGCATGAATTCAAAGTGAAATGTGGGTGGTGCATCCTTCGCTTGTCTAAGCTCAGCTCTTTGCAGCATTGCCATTCAGCGTCCCATAGCAGTTTTGAACCTGGTCAACTGTAGCAGGTCAACACGAGACAGCTTACAGCACAGGATGCGCTCCAACTGGTGCTTTGCCGCACCGCCTCGACTGCCATTATTCGCGCGTGCAAGACATTCCGCACACAAAAACAAGGTGGCGGTCTATGTAGCCTCTGCGCCCTCCGGCAGCGCGATCCGTACGCGCTTGCCTTGAACTTGGGCATGCCCAGCCGCGAGCCCTCCGCCGCCGATGGCTGGCCGCCGCAAGCCCATGGCATCCTTCGCGCCGTCCTCAGGCTGCTGCTGCCGCTCCTTGACAGCGCCGGCCTGTGGGGCCGCTGGATGACTGCTCTGTCGCTCCTGCTGCTGCGGCTCCTGCTGCTGCTGTTGCTGCTGCTGCTGCTGCTGGCGCCGCTGTTGCTCCTGGTGCGGCTGCTCCCCTGGCGTTGCCGCTGCCTCAGTCCCGCCTGCGCTCTGCGCCTTTGGCCGAGCATCACGCTTGCGCTTGCCGCTGCCATCCCCGCGATGCCGCTTCTGCTCCTCCAGGCGCCAGCGCAGCTCAAGGACTTGATCCTGGCTGCCGTTGATAATGACATCATCAGTCCCAGGAACGAACGGTGCGCCACAGACTGGGCACTGGCACGGTGCCCGTGCCGTAGGAGCTGTGGTTGCAGCCGAAGGGGCCCTTGTCGCTGAGACGTCCCCGCTGCCGCCGCTGCCGCTGCCGCTAGCGCCACGGCTGCCCCCGGCGGCGCCCGACGTCGACGCCGCTGCTAGCCCTGCCGCGCCCAGCCGGTCAAGGGCCCTCTGGCTGACGATGTGGCCGCAGGGCACGAGGGCGACCATCGTGTAGCGCCCGCAGGGTAGGCCCGTGATGGGGCACGCGTACTGGGGTTCGTCTGTCGCGCCGCCGGACGTCCCCGCCGGCGCAGCAGCGGCGCCGGGCTGCTGCTGGACGTCAGGGGTCAGGGCCACCGCAAAGACGTCCTTCATGGACGCGAGGTGCTCGAGGGCGGCGCCGTTGGCGCGGATCTGGTTCGCGAACCGGTGGACGGCGGCCGCGTCGACGGGCGCGCCGCGGCGGGAGAGCACCCACTCGAGCACGGCCTCCCGATTGTACAGGGACCCCAGCCGGTCCGCAACGACGGGGGAGCGCAGCGGCTGCTCGCTGAGTGCGCAGGTGCCCCACTTGACCCGCCTGCGCGCGCCGCCGCGTAGGTGTCGAGCACGCAATTGGCTCCTGTGGGGTCTGTTCATTTCGAGTGTGTCCCTGCTGTGCAAGTCCCCAGCACAACATGCATGCAGATGATACAAAGCACAATGGTCACAAGCATGCAGCGCACAGGTCATGGCGCACCAGGCCGCCTGTTGGTCCAGCTGAGGCTCATGATACACCTGGCTGGTGGACACCGCGCCGCCGCGCGTCGAGCGCGAGCCCGAGTTTGCCTGATTGAGGCGCCAGCTGCTGCCGCGCAGTACGTCGCTGCGAGATATGATGGTGCCGCCGTCGAGCCCCATCGCGCCGTTATAGTGGCGGGGAGACTGCCCGCCCGCCCGCGCCGCTGTCGATCCAGAGCAACAGCACGCAACCTGACGCAAGAGTGTGTCTTGCTGTTGTGTTCGATCGGTGCACAGGGCCAATCAATTCATGCTTACGAAAGTCTCACGGAAGCTTGTGGCATATCAAGCACGATAGGCAATGACATGGCGATGCAGCTGCTCTCTCGTCGATCTACTGTCTCTGGCACTTCACATACAAAATCACATACTATACTTTGATGGAACAAAGCAATTGCAAGATACGCGCTGCACGCAAAAGCCACGCACTCGAGTGATCCTCACTTGAACACTGCGATCGGATGTGACTTCCCAAATGGACACGACGCTCGCAATAGAGGACTTCACGCAGTGCCTGGATCCCTCCGAGGATGCATCACAGGGCCAGCAGGTGTGCAGGGAGCCTGCAACTGCGGCGCCGCTGAGGGTGCTTTGCCGCCGGGATGCTGCTCTCCTGCAGAGCGCCATCCACACTCGTCACTCTCTTGCACCTTGGAAACTACCAATGCGCAGGCCGGCTCGCTGGTGCTTGTGGCGGAGGGCGGTGAGCAGCGTCGCTTCCCCCTCTTCTCCGGCGCCAACATCGTCGGCCGGGCCCCGCCGGCCCTGGTGTCAGAGGCGCAGCGGGAAGAGGAGTGGGCGGCGGCCTGCAACCTGCCCGGCGGCGCCCATGGTGGGAGTCAATGCATCGCCGCGCGCAGCCCCGCATCGTTGATCCGAAGCCGCGTGCGCGCAAGCGACCGCCAGGCGGCCGGCTGTGCTCACGCCACCCTCCTGGCCGTCGCAGGCGTCTTCATCCCGGACCCGACTCTGAGCTCGCCGCACGCGCTGGTGGCTGTGGAGGGGGCCTTCTGCCGCGTGAAGGACCTCGGGAGCCGCAACAAGGCGCGCGCCAATCGATGTCCGCGCCGACGTCATGCTCCACTTCGGGCGCTTCGCCGTGCGACGCCCGCCTTTCAGCAGCGCCTCTGCTGCGCTCGCCGCACGCGCCGGCGTCCGCGCATCTCTGTGGCGCGGCAGCAATGCAGCCGCAGGGTTACTCACTCCGGCCCCACCACCCTGCGAGTCTGGGGCCACGATTCGCTGCAACCGCCCCCAACCGGGCCCCCGCACCCGCACCCGCCGCGCCACCCACCCTGCAGACGCTTGTCGTGCGGCCGAACGGCAGGCTACCGCTTCGGACGGACGAGGTCTACCTATGCAACTCGGGCGACAGCCTCCAAGTAAGCTGCCTTTCGCGGCCTTGCGTTCTGCTTGACCCGTTCAGAGACCCTCGGACGCCAGCCCAGCTTGCTTTGCCCCCTCGCGCGCCCCCCCCCCTGTTCGCACCCATGCCGCTCAACGCGCACGACGCTTCGCCGCGATCCCCACTGCTCGTCCCCGCAGATGGGCTCAGTAATTCTCCGCCTGGAGCTGGGCCCAGACGGCCGCGAGGACGACGGCGGCGGCGGAGGCGGCGGTGGCAGCCCTCAAAATCAGCTGCCCGCCCAGGAGCAGCGGCAGGCGGGGGGACAGCAGCAGGAGGAAGCAGCGCCCGCTGCTTATGGGCAGCCGGGGCGCGCACGCAGCACCACACCGCCTGGCGGCTGCCCCCTGGTTGAGCAGCAACGCGGGCAACACGTATCGCCTGGTCAGGCCGCGGCGCTGGGCGGCGGCGCATTCCTCTTGACGAGCGCCGACGGCCGCCCATTTGCGGTCGTCCCGCTGGCGGCCGCAGCGCCGGTTGCGGCCGTTGCGCTTCAGCGTTCCACACCTGCGTCGCAGGCGGCCGCCGGTGGGTCGGCGCCGGCGGCCAGCGAGCAGGGTGGGGCTGGGTATGAGTGCGGGCCAGGGGCTGGGAGCGGCGGGGGCGGAGGTGGTGGGGGCTCTGAGGTGGACACTGATGAGGATTTGGATGATGTGTGGCCCCCGATTGATGAGGACGCAGAGGAGGGCAGCGAACAGGCATCACCCAGAGGCGGCCGCGGCGGCAGCAGCTTAGCTGCGGCCGGCGGCGACCGTCCGGAGGCGGGGCCTGGGGAGCGGGGCAGGGTGGGCGGCACGGCAGACGAGGTTGTTCCAGAAACCCAAGATTGGGACGCAGAGGCGGCAGCGCGAGCGGCCGAGGGCGAGCGGGCGGATGAGGAGGCTGGAGCTAGTGCCACGAGAGCCACGGGCGGGACCGCGGCGCCTGCGATCGAGGGGGATGCCCGAGGCGGCGCCGAGGTTGATGGCGCCGTTGCAATGGCGGAAGAGGACCAAGAGGAGGGCCAGTTTGGGGGTCAGCCGCCGCCGGCCACGGAGGTCCTGCTGGGGCCATCGCCGGGGGCACTGCTGCCGCCCGCGCAGGGTGATGCCACGCCGCCCGCTCCGCCGGCCCCCGGGCTAGGCGCGCTGGGCAGCATCGGCGACCTTGGTGACAACGGCGGCGGCGGTGGCGGCGGCCGAGGCGCTGCCGCGACGCCGGCGGGAGACACGCAGGTGTTGATGTTTGCCGGGGAGGCACACCCCCGGGCAGGTTGCAGCGAGCCCGCGCGCGATTGTGCAGCAGCAGTGGCAGGGGCCGCTGACCCTCGCCAAGTCAGCACGCTGCAGAGTGCTCCCCCCGCGCCGCCAGGCGCTGAGTCGACACCGCCGGCCGCCCAGGACGCGGTGGCGGCCCTGGGCGCGGCCAGGGCCACAGCGCTACCCGTGGAACCTGCGGCGGCCGGACTTGCTGGTGCTGCGGACGCAGAGCGCGATTCTGAAGAACTGGCCGCCTTTGGGGGCGACACCCAAATGCCGGGCGCCTCCGAATCCGCTGGCACTCCTGGCACGGCCCCTGGATCCGACGGCGCGCCGCCGTCGCACCAGCGCGGCGGCGGCGGCAATGCGGACGCGGCAGCGGAGGAGTCTGCGGGGGATGAGGTGGATCTGATGCAGGCGGTGCAGCGGACGCTGTGCAGGCAGCGCAAGCGGGCCCCGGCCCTGCAGCTGCCGCCGGCCCCGCCGCCTGCGCCGGCGGCGGCGGCAGCGGCTCCGGCGACCGCTGCTGCGGAAGGCATGGAGGAGGGTGGGTTGGGTGTGCAGGTTGCGGATGTGCAGGAGGCGCGAGGTGCGGACGTGCAGGCGGCCGCTCTGGGTGGGGCGCAACACGAGCGGGTGCAGGATGCCGGGCTGCAGCAGCAGCAGCAGCAGCAGCAGCAGCAGCAGCAGCAGCAGCAGCAGCAGCAGGAGGAAGAGCAGCCCCAGGAGCAGGAGCGACGCCAGCAACAACAGCAGGAACAGGAGCAAAAGCAGCACCAGCACCAGCCGTCCGACAGCTTCCAGCCAGGAGCGTGGCACAAGGTCCGCCGCAGCTCAGACCACGCGGCATCCCCACAGCCCTCCAGGCCCCCCAGCCCGCCGGCAGCACCAGCACAACCACCGCCGACCGCGGCACCAGAGGAGGGACCGTCTGCCCTCGCGGCCCCAGCAGGGGCAGCAGCGGCAGCGGCGGCCCCAGCGGTGGACGGCAGTGGAGCAGCTGACGAGGTCAGCGATGCGCCATCAGCGCCGCCGGCGGCGGCGGCATCCAACCCGCGGCCGGCCCGCGCATTTGATCCCTATGAGCTTCCGGAGAGCCTGGCGATTGAAGCGTCGCCCCCGCAGGTGCAGCTGCAGCCGCGGCGGGAGCCGACGCAGCGCAAAGGGCGGCGGCCGGCTGCCGTCGCATCCGCGGCGGCCGCGGCGCCCAGGGGGGCGGGGAGGAGCGCCGGCCGGGGCGCTGCGGCGGGCGCGGGGGGTGAGGCGGAGGCTCTGCTTGTTGGAGATGGTGGAGACGCGGGGCGCGAACAGGAGGGGGGGACCAAGGCGGCAGAGGGCGAGGTGGCCGCGCCGCGGCGCGGCCGCAGGAGCGGCGGCAGGGCAACGGCGGGCGGTGCCCTTGGGTTTGGTGTCAGCGCAGAGGCTGGGGCCGGGACGGAGGCGGGTGCAGGGGACAAGGCAGATGCGGGAGCAACAGGGCCGCTCGGCGGCCGGCCGACGCCGGCCAGGACGCCGAGGTCACGGGCAGGGCGCGGCAAGGCGGGGCGGGACTCACTCGGCAGCGAGGGCGCCGCTGCGGCGGGCGGTGCGGCGGCGCCGCGTGCCGGAGACCATGGATGCGAGGTTGGGGCCGAGGAGCAGGAGCAGCCCGTGAAGCCCAGGGCCAAGCGGGCCCGCAGGACCTCGCCACCACAGCAGCAGCAGCAGGAGCAGCAGCAGCAGCAGCAGCAGCAGGAGCAGCAGGAGCAGCAGGAGCAGCAGCAGCAGCAGGAACAGCAGCAGGGGCAGCAGCGACAGCAGCAGCGAGATCATCGCCGCGTCAGCTTTGTCGCCGCTCAGGTCGTCCCCCCCGCGCCTCTCGCGGGCTCCCTGGGCGCCGCCGGCAGCGGCGGCGCGCCCGGCTTGGCGCCGCGGCCGCGGCTGCCGGCAGAGACGCAGGCGCCGAGCGACTCTGCCCTCGGCGATGCTTTCGATCAGATCGGCGGGCTCGCGCTCGCGCTCGGCGCCGACTCGCAGGGTGACGCGCTGCTCGCGCCGCCGCCGCTGCAGCTCCAGTCCGCGGCCCCGCCGCCGCCGCGGTCAGGCGCGCAGTCGCCGGGGGCGGGGTCGACGCCCGGCCGCGGCGGGGCCGGCACGCCGTCCAAGGGCGGCGCGGCGTTTGGGTTCGAGACGCAGCAGGCGGCAGACGCGCTTGAGACGCTGGCTGGCTCTGGCGAGGCCGGAGAGGGCGACGC